ATTGTAACCTTTACTGCCAAGTTGAACTCGACATCTATTTTTATATTTCCCACCATATGGTAAAACGTTTGCCCGAATTAGCCAGGAAAAGACGTCACATAACCAAGCCCCTGCGAATACAATACTGTATTATTTTTTTATATAGGCAAATAGCATAATTAAACATGGTTTTTTTTTTGTTATTTTTTTTTTTTTTTTTTGATGTCTGGGAACAATTAAATTTGTTGACAAAATGTATTAGCAATACTACTAATACTGTATTATGACGGTAATGGTGTTTAATAGTGATAATGAAAATTAAATTGATTTTTTATTTTTTATATTGAATATTATTTTTAATAGACTGTTATTCTGCTTGCCCTGGGACTGAATCTCACAGAACGTTTGTTGATCACATCAAAAAATCTTGTGATATGGTAATTGCATTCAAATTTAAGTCTGCGAATACCATGCTTTGGAACAATATTGTGCATTTCCGGACATCTAGAAATTCCATTCACCAAGGAGGTTTGCATACACATTTAAAAGTATTGTACCTCAATCCCAACCACGGGGGCTGACCGTGGCAGATCCAGGAATTTGAAATAGAGGGGGACCAATGGAAGGACTTTGACAGATGGAGGGTCTATACCACCGCAGCCCCACCATGGTGTGGCTGAGGTAAGAAAATTTACGATATGTCACCTCTAGATGGCCGGAAATGGAACTCTCAGACGAGTGTAATTTTCTTTTTTCTCCAATTTTTGGGCCTGCACTTTCTTGTTCTTTTTTTTGTTTTTGTTTTTTCCCCAGTTGTATAAAGTGCTTTTGTTTTTTATGAACTTCGATTAATTTTGGAAAGCGCAAATGTCTCATCTTAACGAACGTTATGACAATGAATTACGAGGTACCATCAATTTTGCTTCACTATCGTTTGACCTCACCGAGACCTTAAGAAACTCATTTTCATAAACAAGATATTGAATTTCAGGGATCCCTGTATAGCCCAGAGGTTTTAATTTTTCCATTTTCTTTTCCAAGGTTAAATGCCAGTATCACTTGTGGTGAAGTAAAATCAAAAGTACGGTGGTTTCGAGTTTTAAATCGTTACGTAAAAAGTAGATTGGTGATACAGTATTACACAGTATTAATGTTTTGGAAAACGTACTCCTCACAATATTTGAAGGGGGTTTCAGAGTTTAAATTTTTCCTAATAGGCCATATTAAAGATGTAGGCCTACTGTACTGTCAGTACTCTCTGTCATGAGTTAAAACAGAAAAAAAGTACTATTCCGATTGCTTATATACTTTGTTTATATTAGTGAGTTAGGCCTACTTAAACTTACAATTAAACATTTGAATGGGGAAAAAAAGCCCACTTCAATTAACCGAATTAACGGAATTAAATAATACCTTTCCTGAATCTTGATTCAGGATCTTGATGGCTTTTTGTAAAGGTCTGAAATAGATTAACCCCTAACAAATTTTTTAAAGGATATTATTTAGTAATGATTTTTTGTAGCTCAGTTTTGAAAATTTTGTAATTGTTAATGTTAGTATTATGTTTCTTGTAATAGATCAATCAAATTTAAATGTGTATAAAATATTATAATGAATTGTACAATAATGATGTATTCAACATCCGTACAATTCTGCCCAATTTGCATTTTATTGAAGACGCCACAGCTATCCTTTTTATTATGTTGAGCCAAAATTAAATAAATCAGATTAAATCAAATTTAAATGTGTATAAAGTAAAATAATTGTAAAATAAGGTAGTATTTAACAATGTACAAATTTACCTAATTTTTATTTTAAAGTAAGATGCCAACATTTTATTTCTTTCCACTACCTGGCCGTTCTCTGCATTGTTTATATTACAAGGGATGTCATCCTAAATACTGTAATATCAGCATTTTTCGTCTGCTTTAGTAATTAATGGCTTTAGTAATTAAACCAGAAAGTTCACTGTGCCAGAGTTGACGAATTCAGGCGAATCACTCGCTGTTCATCATCAGAATCCCTTTGCACTCCTGCAAACCACGTGAACACCATACAGTTTAAAGCTGACAACGGGTATAATAAATTAAAAATAATAAATCATAAACGTACATTATTAATTGCCTAATTATTTTCAGTCAGTTTCGAAATCGTTTCTGGTACTGGTAACTGATTGGACGATAATTAATTAAGGAGGCTGAGACTAACCAATCAAGTCAATTTAAGATATCGTATGATTTCCAAACAGAATGAATTATTACTTATAGAAACTATGTTATGTTGGTAATTATTGTTCATTATAAAATGCTAATTTTATTGTTTGGTCAAAATATCTTAGACAAACTTACACTGATAATAATCATTGTCATTATTATCAACACATCATTACGATCAATAATAACATAATAGTATTGTCTTTGTCGTCATTTGCGCTACAGCCAGCCATCGTTTCTGCCGTCGTCGATTCCACTGCCGTCGTTTCCGCCGTAATCGTCGTTTTTGCTGTCATCGTTCTATTTGTACGTTCGCTCAGACGTGTATCGATTATTCTGTTGGTGGCTTACCCACCCTCCTCAGTCACTGTGTCGCACCTTGTTCTTGTTTATTATAATTTCCACTGCGACTTTCTAGAGTTCTTGCTATGTTAAGTACGTAGTAGGCCTATATCAGTTGTGAGGAAGTAACCTGGCTGTATTAAATCTTGTTACTACCGTATGTACAGTACAGACAGGCTTCCGCGCTCTAGCAGTATGGCACTCGCATTAAATACTTTTCATGCAAATAAATCTTTCGTTGAAACGCTGCTCAACGATTATAAGATTATTTTGTTCGTATGGTATATCAGCAATTACATCATTCTAAAGGTTTATATACAGCAGTGGCGTAACTAGGGGAGGGCGCACGCCAAAAATTACTCGGCCCCCGCCCCCCAAAAAAAGTCCTGGTCAAGTAGTTAAAAATCTCCTAAAATCACCATATTTTGCGAATTAGCGCCCCTCAACTGATCATCGAGCACCCCGCCCCCGACACTTCACCTTCGCGCCCCCATCATCCCCCTCCCACAATTCAAGACTTCTAGATACGCCACTGATATACAGTACTGTAGTAGGCCTATTTATTTCTTACATCAGCTCTTCGGTGATGGTGTTTTGTCGTTTGTTGTATCCCACGTGAGTAAAATCATGGATCTATTACTACTAATAAAGCTCCATCGTAAAGTGAATTGCCTCTAATCAGTAGCCCCTGTAGTACAGTACTGATAAAATGGAAACAACTCCTTCCCTTGTTTGAAACTTCGTTTTTAATTTTTTTTTCCCCTAAAATTAACAAAACATATTTTTCACAAAATATCAAATATGCTTGAGTTTTTTAACCTTATTCACAATCAACAAACAGTAGAGTATGACACCTCAGGACAACGTTGAATCTAAAAAAACGATTTGCAATTAGTTTTTATTTTTTAATACTGTTACTATTAATGATGTATTGTCTGCAAGAAAATTGGGAGATAATCTTGTAAACTCAATTGAAATTTTGAATAGCTCATTTAACCGTACTGTATCAAATAGTTTCAATTAACTTTCAGACATTACATTTCTAAACTTGCAAATTATTGAATATCCTAGGCCTACAAGGGTAACAATTTAAATTTTGGAAATTTATTGTCAAAATTTAGCTCAGAAAATAGATATATTTTTTAATGCAATAGTTATTAACTTTAAGTAGCACATAAGATTAAAACACCAACAAACTGTCCATAACAAACACTTTCTTCCAAAGTCAAACCAATGCAAAATAATACAGTATTTCACTGGCAGAGTACATAATTATTAATGTATATTGAAATGACCCTTTAAACTTGAACCCCAGTATTTGAGGAGTAAACACGACTGGTAATTTGATAGGATATTTCAATGCAGCCATTTAAGCTGTTAAAATAAGTCCATCCATGGATCATCTACTATAGACATAAAGTCAACTGGACCACCTGAGCTTAAACATTGAACACATATGTTGCAGCATTGTGTTATAAATTTAAGTTTAAAGGTCATATTCACTTTATCAAAAAATCCCAAATTCTAGTTACGATTTTGTTATTTTAGTATTTATGTAGCACCTATTCTGTTGGGAAAACAAACGCTTTGTAACATTGGGTCCTCATTAAGTGTTGCTGCCATATTGGCGCAGCAGCAGGCGACAAACAAGTAGTAAGGACACAAGCGAAATGCACAGCAAGGGATTTAAACCCCGACTTCGAGGTTGAAAAAACAAAGTTCCTGCTGCACCAAACCGCTTCCACTAAAACTTTATATGGACAGTAGGCCCATTCTTGCACATGGGTGTCATTTTTATATTCAGCACCATATTTTTTGTTTAGAAGCGAGTGAACTATACACATCACTAAATATTTGAAGTACAAAAACAGCTTAAAATTTCAACAAAGCTGTAGTGTTAGCAGTTTTCCAATTTCTAAAATTGTTTGATAAGCTCCCTTCATCTGCAGCCACACAACATCAGATTTTTTTGAATAGAATACTGAAAAAATACAATGTTGGATCACTAACATTCAGTCTTTAAACTGTAGGAAATTCACAATTTACACCCTTTTTTAATTGGGAAAACAACTACTGTACATTTTTATTTCATCTTCAATAACGAGAAGTTGTAAAGATCAAATTTAAAACACTGAAATTAAACAATAATTTTATATTAAACATTATAATACATTAACAATTTAGTTAATAAACCGAAGTCACATCTCGCAAATTTTCTTATATAATAAATACATACCGTATTTATTCGAATAAACGCCCCACTTTGAATAAATTTACCCTGTACAGTCTCATTTGGAATAAACACCTCCCTCGACTAAACACCCCCGTCCTCCCTAAATGACACTAAACAAATCTAATAGAACCAACATCATTCTCAACACATTATACACATTTACAGTGAAATTAAGGGGCGTTTATTTGAGTACATACCTATGCATTTTTCACCAAAAATTATAAACGCCTCCCTCAAATATAATGCTTTCAAAAACCCTTCTCAACAATAAACACCCCGGGCGTTTATTCGAATAAATACGGTATAGAAACAAAAATATATTTCAGTGAAATAATAAATTTTTTTTCGATTTACTGTCAAAATGTTTTTGGAGGAATTAAAACATTAATACTGTTTAAGAAGATAAAGTTCACTCATATTTGCAGCACTTTAAACGATTTCTTTTTACTGCTGTCTGCGATTTCTCTCCATCGGTCTTGACCTCAGACAGCATTTAAAGTTCATGTTGTCTGCGTCTGCAGTCTTTAAGGTCATAACTCCTATGTCCTTAAAATAGTGTCATCCGGGTTTAGATCTAGGCCACCAAATTGCTTCTCAAACATTCAACTCTGCTAACTCATCACTGCCATTTTCATCAAGCTTGATTGGTTTAGTATTTTCTATTGTGTAAAACAGGAAAGGTTTAAATATGGGTGAAAAAACAGATTATGTTTCCCAAGCACAACTGAACCAAAATTTAGAAAATTTAGACTGCCTAAATTTATTTTCTCCCCCCTGAAAATATTCTTTTTACCAAGGAGTCCAAAATACTTGTATGATACGAAAGGGCAGCCACTTTCAGCTTAGCCCACAGATGTAACTTTATCAGCCAAATGAAACAGGCTCTAAACCCCAAGAATATGTTTTTAAAATTCCGACCTGCCTTGGTTTTTTTTTTATTCATTTTTTTTTTGGGTGGGGTTCTTTCAGGGAAATTAAATATTTTCTACTTAAATCAAGATTTATGGCAAAAAAAATAAATTTTTCTTTAAGAAAAAATGCTCCAGATCCATTCTAGTTTTTTTGTCACTTAATTACGTACAGCAATTAAGTGTGATTTTCTCTCAGGGCTTGGAAAACACCTTATTTTTTAGTTCTTTAAAGCCAGCTGGGGATTCATTTTTATACCCATCCTCCAGCTCATCACAAGGAAAAAACAAACATATTATTTAAAACAAAAATATTTAAATCATGACTTACTAGGTGTTACAAACCACGGACATGGGTATTCCTTAGTTAGTATTCTCAATCCAATGCAAAAGATTATGAAAGCGATGGCCCCACAAATTGCAGCAAGATCACCTAAGCTCAATACCGTACCTATGCTCTCTGCTGAAAGGAATAATTAAATGTGCGGTTATGAAAATGCTTCATAATAAATGTACTGTATTCAAACCAGCTGCAATCAAACATTAGGAAACTACAATTTTATTTTCTTTACATATATTAAACCTGGTTCACACTAACAAATTTTATTAATGTGTCCACACATGCCGTGCTGATGTCACAGCGGTGTCATATCAAATTTTATTACATTTGATAGTGTGGACAGAGCTTTATCAAATTTTATGTGTTAAGCCTCGTCCGCACTAAGTTTAGTGATGTGTCCACACATGGGCATGATGGTGTCATATTTCACCCAAATATGGGCATATCACATTTTTATTAAATTTGATGTGTGGACAGTGCAAATTTTATGTGACAAATCTGCCTGAGTTGCCCATGTATGGCACCAAGATGTCATATGTCCTCCATATATGGACATGACAATATTTTAAAAAGTCCCAAAACTGATTAATAAAACAAATCAACTGAATTTCGAATATTTATTTATTTTTCTATACAGCAACTTTTGAAATTATATTATCATTTGCAATATCACTGTGTGTATATAAGTAAATAATTCAGTTGTCTGCTGGCATTTAAAAATTAAAATACTGTAATATTTTTTTTTTTTGTTAGTCTAGGCTCACTGAATTTCATGAGAAATTAGAAAACACATCCCATAATACTGTACCTCCATTTTCTCTGACTTCTAAATTTGCTGAGGTATTTTCAGTTTCAAGTACAAAGGTTGCCACAACATGTGTGCCTTGGATTTTACTGCTATCCTCATCTTGAATTTTATCCGAAACGTTAGGTCTTTCTGTGGGTACAACGTAACCTGTAAGGGAAGTCACCCAATGATTCAAATAGTAAATATTTTTGAGGTCCACCTCCATTACCCTTGAATCCACCAATATAGTTTTAAGCTTGCATACAAATTTTATTTTTTGATACAATTTTCTTCATTTTTTTTAAAGGGGGGAGGGGGGTGTGGGTAGGGGATCAGGTTGCAGCCGAAAAGATATATTTTCAATTGGCCTTTATTCTGTCCACACACTATCATATTTTATTTTTTTTATTTTTTTATTTTTTTTAATTTAATTTCTCAAAGCTAGTTTCAACAAATTTTTAATTTTGTAGATTTTAATTATTAAAATGTTTAAAAAATCCAGGGCAATCCATACCATAAGAATGATTAAAGATTTTTTAATTTTTTAAGTTCTAGTTTTGCATAACAGTAGTCTGCCTTTAATAGCTACTTGAATTTCTGAACAATCTCTTTAATCTGTATTTGTTATTGGAGAGCTCAGGGGACCCAGGAGTGAATAGAAGGCTCCAGGCACAGCTGAATTTGATGATGCTCCAAACAGGTCTTTGTTAAAAGAAGCAGAGGCTGTGTAATAGCCATGCCTTTGCAGGACATGCTCTGCATTGTTGATTTTGTGCACTCTTAAAATCCACTGTTCACTTTCATAGGTGCCTGGAAAATATCTCAGTTCACTGAGTTCATATACACAGCTTTGGTGAAGGACAACAGAACCCAAGAGGGTTGTTTTCCTCCACCAATTAAAGCTGTTTCTGAAAATATTCTAAAAAATATGGTACCTATTTTTTTTTTTGTATAATAAATGGGTTTTGTTTTGAACAGGTTTCAGTCACTTTATCTTCTTTGTTTAGATGTGATAGGTATCAGATATATACCACAGCATTTATTTGTGAAAAAGTTGAATAAATTAAAATAAACTTTTAAAAAAGTATTATTTAATTACTGTGGCCAGTTAGTGATATGTTGTTTGTTCACTTGAATACTTGAATTCTCGAGTATGAACAGTAGCATTTTTTTTCAGTTTATTCTGGAAGATTATCATGCACAATGCTTGTCATCCCAAAAAAAGCATAAAACTGTTCTAATTGTTAAACTGAGACATTAGAATGCTGGTTTTGGGATGGGAAACCACATATTTTCTTAAAATGTTTATCAAACTTTTGTTTAATCAAAATGATTGATAATGTAAAATAATACAAATGCACACAATATATCATATAAATATATATGTTATTTAAATATTTGGATTCCTCACCTGGACAACTTTTAAAACAGGTCACCTTTGAAAAGCTTTTAGAGGATGGGTCACAAACACTGTGACATGATTCACATATGTTATTGCTACAGACTTGTGTCGAGTTTTTACATGGGAAGGTACTGGAACAGTGTTCACTAACCACCACATCTCCAATAAATGCAAACAGACTGACCACCAACATACACAAGTTACTCAAGGAAGACATCTTGATGATTCTATGATGAAATTTATCAATAATGCTAATAATAATTAGTCATTCAATCTAAAGTGCACTTTCTAAGTGTACTTAAATCTTCTGTAAATCATATTTTTCCATCCACTATAGTATAAGAGTTGAATTCCAAACAATTTAATATTTTTTTTATTCCATCCTTGATTGAATATTGATTAAAAACTCATGTAGTGTGACAGTGTAAACAATGTTTAGAAGATTTAGTATAAATAAGCACCCAATTTTCTACATGCTTTTGCTGGGTCATGTTTGTCTTGTTAAATTAAATTTAACCAGCTAACTAAAACATATTTGGGCCTACCGATGATAAAAATTTATTGACATATGTTGGAAGTTATTGAAATACTGTAGACTAGTTCTTGAGGGACGCCTCGTTATCAAAGCCCGATACGACTTCCTCAGACTTTTTTTTTATTGCACTACAAAAATCCTATTGTCTGCAAAAAGTGACTGAAAATTTTCACACATTATGCATGTTTACAAATAAATATTGAACTGTCAATACAACTGAACTTCAGAGTACTGACACTGGCATCTTGTATTTGTCTAGGCCTATGGTGCAATTATATTATTATTATTTAATTATTAGGTTTGGGTGGGTTTCACTCAAACATTAATTTCAAATGTTACGTTAAGCCTAAATAGGAAGCGTCTAATCTCGAAAGAGGTGCAACGGTTCCAAGCTCTACGACCATTTATGAGTCCTGTATACGAAATTTAGGCCCTAGCTAGAGAGAGGCATATTATAGGCCAATCTCATAGCGCAACGAATTGGCACACAACGCGCAAAATGAACGCAAGTAGAGTCTGTAGGCTACTCCAGTGGCGTATGGCGCCTAGCTAGAGAGAGGCTAGGGGCCTACCTAGACCGTAAGCCTTTCAAGTGTAATCTGCAAATGTTTTAATATTATATAAAAAAAAATCAAATAATATAAATGTAAACTAAACTCACTTTCTTTGCAGCTCAGTAAGACAAACTTCCACCACTTTAGCAGTTCAATAATCAACTGACAGCTGTAAATTTAAATCCCGGACAATTCAAATCTCTTCTCGTGTTAAATTACCACCACGTCCCTGGGAACTATCATCACGCCATCCAATTTTCGAAAACAACAACTTTATAGAGGGCGGTAAACATTTTTACACGGTCTCTGAACTTTATATTTTAAAATAAAAAATATATTTAGACCACCTCCTGTTTATCGATCGTAATTTGCTATTTTGTGCCTCGTCTTTTATACGCGAGATTATACGGTATGTTGCAGGTTAAATATTAAAATATTTAACCTGTAACATTCCGTATATATTCTCCTGTTGATGAACATACCGACGTAATATTTTGCCCAGACTCAGTGTTCTTATTTTTTTGCCGATTTCAGGCTCAAAATGTTCTTATTTTTTCTTGTTTCACACACTTTTCAAACATCGAAAATTATTATTTTACAGTCTAGTATATTAATGTACTGTGATAAAGAGGTTATTGTACCATAGTAAATTACATCACACCTATCGCACATGAGGTACCGGTACAGAAAAGTTTTTGTTTTTTTTGTAGGCCCCTATTAAAAAATAGATAAAAAAAGCTCAGCTGACATTTTGCCGCAGCTTCAATTTCTTCTTATTTGTTTTTAATTTATAAGCAATTTCAGTTTAAGTGTTCTTATAAAATGTGTTCTGATATATATAAAAAAACAAAAACAAAACAAAAACAAGAACACAAAAAAAAAACAAAAACAAAAAAAACCGTGTACGCCCGACATACAAAAATCGTCCAAAAATCTTTTCGACATACAAAACTCGGGGGTCGTCTCATATAGCCTACGCGGATCGCCTTATAAGCGAGAATATCGTACAAAATCAATCCAAAGATCGATCAAACTCTCTAAACGCAATGACCAGATCAGAAGCTATGCGTAGGCCTCAGCCTCAATTTGTTCTTATTTTGTTCTTAATTTTTAAGCAATTTCAGCCTCAGTGTTCTTATAAAATGTGTTATTGTAATTTTTTTTTTAAACGCCCGACCGTACAAAATCGTCCAAAAATCTTCTCAAACTCGAGGGTCGTTTTTAAACGCAATGACCAAAACAATATTCAGGTCAGAAGCTATGCATAGGCCATACCGTAAAACCTAGAATAGAATTCCTATGGGTTTAATCTCGAAAAGAAGCCCCTACATGTCTTGCAAAAAGCTCATCTCTCGAAAAGGAGCCCATATGAATGGGATTCTATTCAAAATAACCCATTTATAGACTGATGTTCTTTACGTCCTATTCAATATCATTGTATTGTAGTTTTAGCTTCGTTAAAAATTATAAAATACTAAACAGAATTTCGAATTCCATATTTCATCTTGAAAAGAAGCCCTCTCTTTAGTTTGAAAAAGTAATCTTGAAAAAGCCTACCTGATAAGAGGCCCACTCGAAGGAATTGAAGCACACCCAAGGCCCTAGAGCCCAAAATATCGTACAATCTTAACCTAAAATCCATACTGGTTTTGTTCTTGTTCAAACAATGTAAATGTAGGCCTATAACTTGTTTGCCCATAAAGGTTCATTTAGGCCTATATAATTTTTTTCTTAACTGAGAGTATAACATGAAATCTCTAATTACAAGTTCCGTTTCATCTCTACATATCATTTTGCTGTAATCTGTCTGCAACTTTCTTTTACCTTTCTTTTTTCTTTTTATCTTTTCTTTCATTGTACTTTTATAATGTTGTTTTCTGATTTTCCATGTTTAGTATGTTTGTGTGCGCCTCGGAATATGTTTACCTAGATAGATGGCGCATTATAAATGCATTATTATTATTATTATTATTATTATTATTATTATTATTATTATTATTATTATTATTATTATTATATCTTCTTCAATATCTTCTTATCTCCGTTTTCACTTAACGTTCCAATCGCCTAATATTAATATTTTACCTTTCTTTTTTCTTTTTATCTTTTCTTTCATTGTACTTTTATAATGTTGTTTTCTGATTTTCCATGTTTAGTATGTTTGTGTGCGCCTCGGAATATGTTTACCTAGATAGATGGCGCATTATAAATGCATTATTATTATTATTATTATTATTATTATTATTATTATTATTATTATTATTATTATTATTATTATATCTTCTTCAATATCTTCTTATCTCCGTTTTCACTTAACGTTCCAATCGCCTAATATTAATTTCTCTTTATCGTCTTTATCCCGGTCTTTATATCTTGTCTGATTTCAAAATCAGTACCGTAGGCCTAGGTCCTATTAGTTGATTATCAGCAAGAAAAAAAAAACAAATTTTGGAGATAGTGTAGTGTTTGTAGTCTACTGCATGCATCCAATGGGAAGTAATATGACGAATTCCGTCAAAATAAACCGTTAACGAGAATGTTCGTAGTCGACTCTGCCGACACCAAAACATTAATTAATCACGGCGCCATTCCTGAGAAGTAGGCCTATACCGTATTGCGATGATATCTATCGACTTATTTACCGATTAATTGATATTAATTAAAGCCTATCTCCTTACCGTGTTGCTTTCATCCTTGCCGACATTGCCTTAAGCTATGGGTTCACCTGGCCGCCGCCGCTTACTTATCGTTAATAGATCCGCCCACTCTCTTGAGCGCCTTCGTTAGGACAAGGCACGTGACTGTGGGTGAGCTATATGCTCTCCGTCCATGTTATTGGCTGTGATAGTACGCGTCGTCACGCGTTCGTTGGTTCGAGGATGAGCCATACGCTCTCCGTCCATATGATTGGCTGTAATGTGCAGTCGTCAAACGCATTCGTTGCTCGCGCATAATAAGCCTTTAATACTAGTTCGTTAATGACTCACTTTAATCATCTTTCTCCGCCAATGCCAATTCTTTGTAATTTGATAAGAGAAAAGTAGACCTCTCTCATAACCTATGATACTAGTACGACTCGTAAGATTTGTCTGCCTTTCCGATAATCTAAATTTAGTAATTTAGAAAGTTATTTTACTAAACATACACAAACAAACGCAAACACACACAGTTTTATAGCCAATTTTAAGCGATAATAAAGGACAAATTAATGTCATTAATTAACTCATAAACTAGTGTTCAGTATCGACTTTGACTTTCGGGGAACCAAGGAATTGCCTTATAACTGTCTCTTATACACATCTAGATGTGTATAAGAGACAGATATATATATTGTCAATTTTCACTAAAGGTGACAATGTGTACTGATTTGTCCTCTTACATACCTCCATAAATATCATACGTCCCAAGGCCACATTCTGACTAATTTTCCCAGAGTCTAGTCGCATTATTATGCCGGGCATTGTGGGAAGGCTGGCACGCACGCACGTGAGAGAGAAAACACCTGGTTTATTACACACTCTTTAGTGATTGTTCTTGAAAGTGAGCTTTTTAATTTACAGGCATTTCTGTTGATGGACGTATTATTAACGAGTGTAGATTATGACATCATCACCCTGTGATGGATGAGTATTGCTAATGACAATCCTTTGCCCACTTTTGAAAAAATTAAATTAATTATTAAAAAAATCAATTAATTTTGTCTATAACAAAGAATAACAAAGAGATTTGCACCATTCTGTAGGCCTAATATACTGAAAAACACCTTCTCTTTACCAAACATATATCATGGGAAAGTCATAGTTTTCCTCTCCGCGATCTTTTTACAAACAGTATCAATGTTTTACCATGAACACATTTGTCATGTTGAAATAAATTAAAATAAACACTTAAATGTGGTTCAAAAACACAGTAGTTTATTTCAATAGGCTGTTAAAACTAATCAAAAAGATAAAGATGGTATATAATGTAGCAATAACAAAGAGTTCCCATTGTCATTAAGCCACTGTTCTTTCTTTCTCCCCCTCTCTATTAATTGCTTCCATCCAAATTGTTATAAATGATAGTGTTACTATAGCACACTAATCTGACATTACATTGAGAGTCTTATCTAGGGAACACGCGAGTTTAAACGAGATATTTGCAGGTGGTTTAGAGGGTTTTACCTACTGAACAAGTTACGTACAAAAACACTTTATTTACCGACACATATAATGATGTCGATTCGACAAATTGAGAGAGCAATTAACATGTTTGTTCTCAGATAAGTTATCAGTGATCAGAGACCGGGCTTCTCATTCAACCGATTATCACCAATATTCAGCAAGGTAATACAATTAGTCTATACAAATAGAACAAGCGTGGACACGCGTGCGAGAAAACATTATAATTGGATCGTCGACAGGCTGAGCTAACCTTGCGTCATCTTCTTGCCTCCGAGAAACGCGTTTTGTATTTGTTTTTAGCCCCGAGGTTTGGAAGCACAAACTGAGGGAGCAGTCGCCGATGTGTACCGACAAACCGGGGCGCACATTCCAGCGTGGATTTTTCAGTGCGTAGGAGCGTTTCAGAATAGGTGTTATTGAATCAATCGGAACACAAGACGGGTGCGATCAGTAGGAGAATAATCACGGAGTTGAGAAAATGAACGTGAGAAACCAATTGACAGCGTTTACAATTGAAAACATTCTGGGCATAACCTGCACCCGAGACAAACAGGAGACAGAAGTAGCAAACTCGAAAACAGAAGAGACAAAATCCGCGCTAATTCTTCGAAAAAACGGTTAGTATTAACATTTTAACCGGTGTTAAAGGATTTTGGTCCCGTAAATTTGGCCCCCTCAGCCTAAATTTACTGTGAATTCCAGTGTAGATAATTTAGCCTAGGGGGAAGAAATTAAGAGTTTCTCCTCCCCGTTCAAAGAAATCGACCGAAATTCTAGGAGAAAGGTGGAATCCCTGCGGCCCATCGGAATGATTGTTTGAATCGATTTTGATAGGCCTATCACTATTTCATATAATTATATGAAATATTGATATTATTATATCACTATATACGATGTTTTGGATCAAAAACTATACAAAAAGTTACGGCTACCCGTAAAATATTAAGTTTTTGTTACGTGGTTTGTTATCGTCGGCGGTTGGCTAAAAGTTTTAGCTATAATTCTTTTCGATTTATTGACATCAAGCTTAGGTGCAGGTCTTCGATTTTGTTATGGCAGTGTTCAGTCTTAAGCATATAGGCATCAAGTCATATAACTCAGTG